GCTCCCCCTGGCGCTGCTTCACCGCTCGCGGTACCTGGCATGCCAGTGCTGGCCTGCAGACCTGGGCTCCCGCCCGGTGTGTTGCCGGGCACATGCACAATTTGGTGTGCGCTCTCACCACCCTCACTGGTGGTCGACACTGGTGGCATTTCCCCTGAACCTCGCGATGATTCATGCTGGCCTATGCCTCCCAATGCCCCTCCCGTAGCCGTATTAGGTTCAAGGCCCACTGCACCTGACTGGCCTGATTCACGTGGTGGCATTGAACCTGGATGCTGCAAACCATCCCCTCCAGGAGGTGTAGATGGATGCGGTGGATTGGTGCCATAGCCCTGCCCAAGCGTTGGGCTCATAACCTGCTGAGGTGAAGCCCCAGCAGGTTGTGCAGGAACAAGTGGAGTAGCTAGTTCCCCTGAACCTACACCTGCCATGGCTCACCTAAGGCGCGGAGCTTTTTACACACAGCGAAGAAAGAACAACAAGAAGTCATGTACTAGTGCTATGTAGAAGGTCTACGGCACCTACTTGTGAAACTGTACATACTTTTGTTAAACATGCTCAAGGCTACTGTTCGGGCCTATAAGCAACAAAGGAAAACTGCATGATACAACTGCTACAGGATGACATGTACAGGAGTAGGCTTCAACACTAAACCTTAAACCCTGATTAAACCCTAAACTACCCCAAAGCCTAAACTACCCCAAACCCGAAACCCTAAACCCTAAACCGCAAACCCTAAACACCAACTTCATCCCAGGTGGCTGCTGCTTGATCTCCTCTAGCTCCTTGGCGAGGCGGTTGCGCGTGGCCTGGGCCACGCGGAGAGTTGGGTTTAGGGTTTAGGGTTTAGGGTTTAGGGTTTAGGGTTTAGGGTTTAGGGCTTAGGGCTTAGGGCTTAGGGCTTAGGGCTTAGGGCTTAGGGCTTAGGGCGTAGGGGTTAGGGTTTAGGGCTTTGGGTTTAGGGTCTCTGGATTGGGGGAGGGGGAGTGTGGGGGGGGGGGGGGGGTTTGGGCGTAATACAGGCTAAGGGTTCAGGGTTCAGGGGTTTAGGGTTCTATAGGGTTTTAGGGCTTTTTTAGGGTTTAGGGTTTAGGGTAGCTTGCCAATAAGTCAGCACGAAGACCTACCACCTCCGACGTGCCAAGGGTTTAGGGTATATAGTCTGAAAAAGAGAAAGCTGATCGTTGCAAGGAAAAACTGCCAACCAGAGCATCAAACTATGCACTCTGAACCAGCTGCGCAAAGAAGAAGACTGCCAACATCAAAGACGGCACAGCGCACAACTCGAACATCGCTTCACAACTGCAATTCACTCACAAAGTGGGGGCTCTTCCACTAAAACATGCCACTGCTTCAAGTTGAAGGGCAATCCCGCCTCGACTCCATGTCAGCCCCTTTTGGGAGTGCTCCCAAAGCTTTGGGCGTTCAGTGCAAGGCCCAGGTTGCCAACGACTTGCTTCAGCAAAACCAAGGACTCGCCATACGTCCGACGACCTGACCAAACCACATCGGAATTCGTATCCCGTTCCGCTCTGTCAGAACAAGTCCTGAATAATAAAGGGGACGTGTACTCCGGAGGCCGCGAGGAGTACGCCTTGCTGAGGCCGGTGCTCTGAAAGAGACACGTTGAGTGTTGGAGTCAGCCTTCCTCCAACCCCAGAACTCTGTGCATTCTGTGAGATTCTTGTCAAGTTGCATCACCGATTGAACCACACTCTTACTCTTGTGGGAGTCAGCGACCAGGCCTCAGTTCTTGGAAAGAGTCGCGAATGGAGAACTCGCGTGTAGTAGGCACATCCCAGACGGGAGACTCCGTCAATGCAGTGGGGATTGGGGAGTACAGGAGTGGCTCCAAGTTGAACCAATGTCACAATTAAATTTGCGATTGCAACATTTCATCATATTTCGAGATGCAACCTTCGGGGTACGAGTCTTAATCCCTTGACTATACTCTAAATCCTGCCAAAATGTCTCTTGTCTCTGCAGAAAACTTGCAAACCGCCCTAGGCCTTGTTCTGGGACTCAGGGTTTCGGGTTTAAGGCTTGGGGTTGAAACTGAAAAGCTGTGGGGCTTAGGCTTTTGACGGTTCAGGATTCTTAGGGTTCAGGGTTTCAGAGCTTCAGGGCTTTCGGTGCAGGGTGTAGGGTCAGGTAGGGTTCCCCAGCAAAGTCAACAGCCCCCATGGGCCCCAAGGCGGTCAGGTCCGACGACGCCAACGTCCGCTTGCTTTGCACCTCCCGTGTCCACGAACGCGCGGGACTCTGGATTTCAAAAGCCTGAAGCCCAAAGACAAAGCCTAAAGCCTGAACCCTGGTTTTTGGGAGTGTTCGGGTTGAGGGCCTTGGGGTCCGAGATGGTGGGATTCTGAGGGCTTTAGCGGTTTCAGGTTTAGGGTTTCGGGTTTCTATGTGTGTGCTAGGGCTTTAGGGACTCGAGTCTTAGGTCTTGGGGCTCTAGGGATTAGCTTTTGTCAACTAGGGTTTTCAAGCTTTTGAGCTTAAGGGTTTTAGGTTTAAGGGTCATTTCGGGCTCGACCATTCTGAGGCTTCTAGGGGTGAGCCTGAGGCGAGGTGCCGGGTGTGTAAAGCTTTTAAGGCTTTTTGGCGGGGGCGAAGGGCAAAGTATGCATTTTCCTGATGCTGCTATTGGCATACTCTTGCGATGGTTTCAGTTGTGCTATTGCTAACTTTCGACTTGTCTTGGTCCCGGACTAAGTCTAAGGGGAAAAAAGGGGCACTTGAATTTCATCTGGCTCATAAAGGGAATTTCATGAGGTCATAAAGGGAACCTAAGCCCAAAAACAAGCTAAGGGCACCTTCAACGACTCCTGTTCGTTTGCCTGTTGGTTGTTGTTGATTTTAACAAGCGATGTGGCTAAAACTCGAGTCTCACGCATTTCTTCATGATGATTCTGCTTAAGGCGGACACACCCAAACTGCATCCCAAGATCCTGTCGACAGCCCTCCGTCTGCTTGCTTGGGCTTATAGTTGAAGATCCGAATCTCCAATCCCTAATCCCGAAACCCTAAACCCTGAATCGCTGAATCGTTGAATCCCTAAACTCTGAATCCCTAAACCTTAAACCCTAAACCCTCCCATGGTTTCTAGCGTGTCGGGGTGAGTGGTCGGGGAGCTGTTGGGGCGGCGCCCTGAGAAAAACCTTCGAGGGGCAGGCCTCTCTCTGTCGCTGGGAGATGTCATCCTGTGTTTTCATTCTTTGGTCGTGAGGGTTTAGGGTTTAGGGTTTGGGGGGGGCGGGGAGGAGGTTGTGAGTTCTTTTGTTTGGAAAGCCTGATTCTTTGGGGGGCAGGTTTTCTTGAGGGTTTCAGGGCTTTAGGGTTCTGAACGTTTCGGGGGTTCAGGGTTTGGGGTTAGGATTGGTGGGTCCCCAGACCTCCTGCTAAATAACCCGAAACCCTAACCACAACCCTAAACCCTAACCCTAAACCACAAGGGATTCAGGTTTAGGGTGGGGACGCGGAATGCGCTAGCTGTTCCCTGGGCCACTAATAGCTTGCACTGGAGAGTTCCTGACAGAGAGTGTAAAGTTGTAAAGGTTGAGGATCTCTCGCATTTCTCATCTTTTCTTGACCCGCTCCGGGGGAGGTGCCCAAAACCCTAAACCTGGATTTTAGGGGTGCGGAATTGGGGGGTGTGGGGTGCCAGGTGTTGAGCGTGGGGTTGCGGGCACATGAAATCTTCCTAAGTGCTCTGAACCCCTAAGCTCATTAATCCCAAAGCCCTAGACCCTAATTTTACTGGACCCAGAACCCCTAAGAAGCCCTTCGAACCCCAACACTGTACACCCTCAACCCTCAAACCCCCCAAAGGCCTCCCAACCTCAGCCCCCCGAGTCGTGAACATCGAGGCCCTAAACCCTAAACCCTAAACCCTAAACCCTAAACCCTAAACCCTAAACCCTAAACGGTATAAGGGAGTGATTCTCGGAGGCAGGTTCAAGGGTTTTTTCGAGGGGGGATCCAGGCTGTTGAACGAGTTTTCGATTTGTGCTTTGCAGGTCTGTTCGGTTCAAGGTTGAACCCCAAACCCTAAACCCTAAACCCTAAAGCCTAAAGCCTAAACCCTAAACCCTAAAGCCTAAAGCCTAAACCCTAAACCCTAAAGCCTAAACCCTAAAGCCTAAAGCCTAAACCCTAAACCGGCTTGCTGAAGCTTGTAGCGTGCTTTTTGGGGGAAGCTTTGGTTCAGGGCTCTCAGGGTTTGTAGGGGTTCCTAAGGTTTTTGGCTTCTTAAGGGACGAAGGGTTCATGGGGGAGGGGGGAACCCGGGGATCCTTAGGGAAGCATGGGGAAGCTTTAGGGAGTAGTGAGGAGGGAGTATTGGGGAACCTTGGGTTACATTCCTAAACCCTAAACCCTAAACCCTAAACCCTAAACCCTAAACCCGAAACCCTACACCCTAAACCCTAAACCCTAAACCCCAAACCCCAAACCCTCCTCCCTCCCTTAAGAGCCCTACAACAAGGGGGGGGCCTCCAAGGCGGCGATCCGGCTGCGCATCTCCTGCACAGCCTTCGTGGCATCTTCGACGCTGAGGGGTCCGAGAGTAAGGGAGTACTTCGGGGAGGAGAAGATTTCCCCCTAAACCCTAAAACCCTAAAACCCTAAAACCCTAAACCCTAAACCCTAAGCCCTAAGCCCTAAACCCTAAACCCTAAACCCCGCCCTTGGACTCCCATCTTCCCTCTCTCGTAAAGGGGCCTCTAGTAACTTGAAATCCCTCCCCACATCTCAGACCCTGAGCCCTTATTAAGGGTTTAGGGTTTAGAGTTTAGGGTTTGGGATTTAGGGGTTGTATAGACCTTAGGGGTTTCTTTGGGGGTCTTTAGGGGCTACTTAGGTATACAGGGACGATGTAAGGGTTACAAAGGGGTTCTTATCGTACCCCCCCAAGTTATAATCCCTGCTAAGGCGACTGTTCGTATAAGGGGCAACATCCCAAACTATCACCCAGAATTCCCCCGGTAACCTCTGGGGTTCTAGGGTGCCGCCGCCTTGTCGGCAGCCTCCATGACGGCCTTCACCGCCTCCTCAGCACGTCACTTCGGGTTAGGGTTTAGGGTTTAGGGTTTAGGGTTTAGGGTTTAGGGTTTAGGGTTTAGGGTTTAGGGTTTAGGGTTTAGGGTTTAGGGTTTAGGGTTTAGGGTTTAGGGTTTAGGGTTTAGGGTTTAGGGTTGCTTACAGGGGGGAGTGGCGATGTGGAGAAAAAGGTAGTATTCTTGGGGTGATGACATAAGTAGGGCTTGCGGTACCCTACTTGGAGGTTCATGGGCAAAGGGTGTATAGTCCGTGATTACTGGGTCCCAAAGAAACGCAGGAATGGCAGGGTGACCGTTTCTTGCTGAATAGATCTATAAGGGAACCTCACCCGACAAAAATGGAAAAAGCGCCCCTCTCTGGGAAAAAGTGCCCTAACCCCCTGTCAAGGGTTTACGAGTAGAGAGCTTAGGGCTTGCCTTAAAGCTTAAAGCATTGAACCTTCGTATCTTCGAACTCATGAACACTCAGGGGTACTGGGATCCCAAATATTCAAGCAACGCCCTAAACCGTAAACCCCAAACCCCAAAACCCAAACCCTAAACCCCAAGCCCCAAGCCCTAAACCCCAAACCCTCAACCCTAAACTCCCTCCCACCTAAGTCGCGCGCGACCTGTTCTTCGTGGGACTTCAGCATGGCGCCATGCTGCTGCTGCCTTCAGTCGTGTGTCTTCACCCCTGGGAGGATCCAAAAAAAGATCCCCTTAGAGGGTTTAGGGTTTAGGGTTTAGGGTTCCGTACCTCAGGGAAGTCATGAACCCCAAATATAGACCCCAATGGTAGGATTACCTCATAATGAGGTATAATAAGGACCCCGATAAGGTACTTAAGGGTGCCTAAAAATGACCCCATACTAGTACAGGGGACTATTTGGGGGTTCTGTTTTTTGGAGCCTCCCAGGGGTCTGGGTTGGTGCGAAGTCGTAGCTTCAAAGGCTACGGGTTTGGGGGTGATTTCTGAAAATCAGGGGTGTGCCCCTAGAATTGGGGGATGCTGGTCACAAGGATGAGAGTATCCTTTGGTTGGAGCAGAAGGGGTACCCCCTAAACCTGAAAAAGTCTGAGCCCCAAACACCCTAACCCCATAACCCTAAACCCTAAAACGCCCCCCCCCCCCCCCCCCCCCCCCCCCCCCCACCATTAACCCTAAACCCTAAACCCTAAACCCTAAACCCGAAGCCCTTTCGGTGCAGAGCCTCAGCCAGGTCTCAGCCCCGTGACCTTCTCGGTCGTTACTTTCGAGGGAAGCCGTATATCGGGAGATCCCAGTTTAGGGTCTATTGGGTTTAGGGTTTAGGGTTTAGGGTTTAGGGTTTAGGGTTCAACCCGAAACCCTACATAGGTTGATGCTGCAGCTGCGGACCCGTTTCCAGCATTCCCAAACGCTCTATAGAGGGCCCGTACATGTTGAAGGTAGTTCCCCAACCTCGTTGAGGGGCTGCTGGATTTTGAGTCAATCTTTCTCCGCCGAAACCTCCCAAAACCTAAGCCCCCACAAGCCCCACCACCCTGGGAGCAATTAAGCCGCCCACTCATCGCATCTTGCGATATACTCCGCCTGATTTCGGGCGGGTTCAGGGTTTGAGAGGAAGCAGAACAGCCATGTGCCGGAATGCAGGCGTCGTAAGGTTTGGGGTTTAGGGTTTAGGGGTACCAGGTACTTCTAGCAGAATGGGTTGCCTTGCAAGCCTACCGCTAAGTGCCACTGAGCCCCAAAACCCCGAAGCCCCCCCCGGCACCGCTCCTAAAACCCTAAAGAAACCCTGAATAAACCCTAAATATAGTACGGATAGCTCCAGTTTTGACTACTACTCAGAACCTCAAAAGCTGCTGGTCTGCTTGCCTCTGTTTGGCGTAGTAGCTGCATTTGCTGGTCCATGCCGCGGTCCTGCGCAGGTCTCTCTGCAAAGGGAAAATAACGAGGGACTGGGGGAGGGGGGGGAGGGAGCGGGAGGAGAGAGAGAGAGAGAGACCGAGCGTGCCCAAACACACTGCAAAGTGCGGCACTTGGTAGGGAAGCTGATCCGGAGTTTGCTAGTGGAGGCTCCTCATCCGCATCGCCGGAAAGGTCAACTTGACTCATCTCTCGCCTCAGATGCTCACAAGCCCCCCAAGCCCTGGCCTACGACAATGTTGCTCCACTGATCAGGTGAGTACTTCTCAAAGGCGTGCAACCAAACAACGGTTGTTGAAGGAGTGGGCACATCAACACTGGGCTTGAGTTCTGTAGTTTTCGCATTTTGCAACCTCAATTTGACGCAAACCACAGGCTTGGGAAACACCCGATTTGCAAGCGGGTCTCTGAACGTCAGTGTGGCCGTCAAGGTATTAGCAAGAAATGTTGGATTGGCATTTTGCAACATTCCCGTCAGGTCATCTTTCAACAAGCCAGGAATGATAAGCGCCAAGTAGGCATCCTCCTCTGACAAGCAGTTTCGGCGGGAGGAAGACGCATTGCACAGGGCAATGCCCATTGCTCCCTTACATACCTGGTGACGGCCACGGAAGTTGGCTGCACTTAGGAGGGTAGCTATAACTTACTAGGAAACCCAAAAACCCAAAAAGGCTAAGGATCTAAAGTTACAGTAAAACACCACAAAGGGAAGGCAGGGAAGAGGAGTTCAGGACTTAGGGTGTAGGTTTTGGGGTTTAGGCTGAGCCCCTGGCCCTTGGCTCGAGTTCCCCAGCCGCGGTTTAGGGTTTAGCGCTTAGGCTTTAGGGTTTAGGATGCTCTGTACCCTGTTTCAAGCTTCCCCTCGGCAGCTTGAGGTTTGCGCACTGCCTAGCCCCAAAACCCTTATAACTTATAACGTATGAACCCCCAAAACTTCTGCAAAGCCTAAACCCAACACCAAAACTAAACCCCCCCAAACTCTGAACCCGATGAACCCTAGAGTCTAGAAGCTCTTTAAGCCCTACCTAGAAGCCCGAATAGGGTTTAGGGTTCTGGGTTTAAGGTTGAGGGTTCTGGGTTTAGGGTTCAGGGTTCTGGGTTTGAGGTTTAGGGTTGCGGGTTTAGGGATATTATACAGACCCTGTGAACGCTCTAAACCCACAACCCGATCTTTCAAATCCTCTAACCCCACCAACCCTTAAAACCCCACCAGCACTTACTCTAAACCATAAATCCCCGAAAACAAATAGAAGCCCTATATAAGCCCTGAAAACCCTTCAAAACCCTCTAAGGTTCTTAGTTGGTTCGTGCTAAACTCTAAACCCGAAACCCTGAACCCCTAAACCCTCAACCCCTAAACCCCTCAAACCCTAAACCCCTCGAAACCAAACCCTAAACCCCTCAAACCCTAAAAGCCTTAGCCCCTAAACCCTAAACCCTAAACCCTAAACCCTAAACCCTAAACCCTAAACCCTAAACCCTAAACCCTAAACCCTAAACCCTAGACCCTAAGCCCTAAACCCTAAACCCTAAACCCTAAACCCTAAACCTTAAACCCTAAACCCTAAACCCTAAACCCTAAACCCTAAACCCTAAACCCTAAACCCTAAACCCAAACCCCAAACCCTAAACCCTAAACCCTAAACCCTAAACCCTAAACCCTAAACCTAAAGCCCTAAACCCTTAAAACCCAGCTTCTGCCTGGGGCCCCGCACACCGCCGCCTCGGCGGCGGTGCGGCGCTGTGCGGAGGCGCCGAGCCTCGGGGGGGTTGAGGGCTCAGGAGTAGATTTTTGGAGTACAATATTCATTCTAGTAAATAAATGTCATGTCGGGCTTTGGGCTTCGGAGTTCTGAGACCTAGAAGCCCATAAACCCTCGTGGGGGGGTACTATAAATCGCTGCTGAGGACTGTAAGGGGGAACATCCCAAAGATGACACACCCAGCACAGAGAAAGCCGCCCTTCCGAGCGCCCCGTCGCGTCGCCCAGCGAGGACCGCGCGGCGCAGAGCTCGCGGAGGGCCATCTGCAAGGGGTTTAGGGGTTTAGGGGTTTAGGGGTTTAGGGTTTAGGGTTTAGGGCTTAGGGTTTAGGGTCTAGGGACGGTCTAGGGTTTAGGGTTTAGGGGGTTCCAGTTTAGAGGTCCGAGGGCTTGGAGGGTTCAGGGTTTGAGCGTCTCAGGTTTGGGGGCCCGGGGCTCATTTTTAGGCTGGAGGGTGTGAGGCCTTGGGGTTTTGAGGGTTTGTGGTTGAGCCCTAAACCCCCCTAACCCCCTTACAACCCTATACTCCTTCACATCCCTGAAAACCCAAGAGACCCGAGACCCCTCCCCAGAGCCCTAGAACCCTAGAACCCTAGAACTCTAGAACCAAGTTAGCCAGGCTGCATACTGAGCGCACCTGGAACCTCTGAGAACTTTGGTTATGATCCAGATTTGTTGCTTTATTTGTTTTCATCACGATCACGGCTGTTAAGGTTTGTATCTTCCTCCCGTGCGAGCGCAGCCTTGATGCGATTTGAAGAAGCGCACATGCTCTCATTCTCAACCCCCAAGCCCCTGTATGATCTGCGTTGTGGCTTTCTGAACGTGCATCCTGCCCTGCAATGATCCAGGCAGCATCAAAACTGCCACCCCTTTCAAGTGCGAGCCCTAAACCCTAAACCCTAAACCCTAAACCCTAAACCCTAAACCCTAAACCCTAAACCCTAAACCCTAAACCCTAAGCCCTAAACCCTAAACCCTAAACCCTAAACCCTAAACCCTAAACCCTAAACGAGGACCGTGCGCTTCCAGGATGAACTTGATGGCCACAGATGCCAGAGGGCCCGTCGCGCCACACATTTTGCCAGCAAGTCCTAAACTTCCAAAACCCTAAACACTGAAGCCTAAACCCTAAAGCCCAAGACCCTAAAACTTAAGACCCCAAACCGTAAACCCTGAACCCTAAACCCTAAGACCCTCAACCCTGAGACCCTAAACCTTAAGACCCCAAACCCCGAACCCTGAACCCTAACCCCCAAACCTAAACCCCCAAACCCCAAACCCTGA